GAGGAGGCGGTCGAGGAGGAGGCGGTCGAGGAGGAGGAAGAGGAGGAGGCGGCGGTCGAGGAGGAGGAGGAGGAAGAGGAAGCGATCGAGGCCTCGGAAGACAAGTCGGAGCCGCTCCCGGAGGAGAGCACCGAGTCCGCGAAGAAGGACATGTGAGCCTCCTGCGAGGTTGTGCGTAAGCGGCGTCTCTCAATAATATAAGATCTAAAGCGCCTCTTCTAAATGTACTCCCTATCCCCCCTGCGTGCTGGTCGCCCGCCCTTTCAGCGGATCCGACGTGTTCACGTACTTTGGCTCCTGGTAAATCCCCGCGACGCCGGTGCCGTCCCCTTTCGTCACCCCCAGTGGATACTCGAACCCCGGATGCACCGCGGGGTCTCGGTCCGCCATGTCCGCGACGACTTCGCTCTGCGGCATCGCGTCGTTCACGACCATACCCGCGCCCGGGAGCAGCCGTCCCCGCTGCGGCCCTTTCCTCGGGTCTTTCGAGCTCTGGTCGTACATCCTGCCGAACTTCGTCTGGAACTTGTTCGGGACTTTCACCCCCGGGATGACCTCGCACGGCGTCCCGGCTTTGTGCGGATTTTTGATCTTCAGACACTTGTAGTTTAACTCTCCGCACACGATGAACTGCGGCTGCCCGGTGTTCACGGCGTCCCTCGCGGTCTGCTCCTCGCGCTCGACGCGCATGTGGTGCGGGTCCGCGACGAACGCCTGCGTCATGACCTTCCTCGTCGTGTCGATGCACGCCTGGTACGGGTGGTATATCGACAGCCACGACTTCTTCCTCGCGTCCCAGTCCGTGGCCCGCGAGTCGTAGCACATCATGCACGCTTTGCACTCGTCGTTCCACGACGCCGCGGACGCGATCGAAGCCCGGCACGCGCTCACGATCGTGTCCGTGCACTGGTACGCGATATTCGTGTTCTCGCACCACTTGTACCACTGGCAGCAGTTCGACGTCGTCGGTATCACGCCAAAGTTGTCCGTCGTGTTGTCGATGACGTGCACGGTCGCCGCGAAGCCGGTCGCGGGCGGGGGCGACGGGGTCGGCGGCGGGAACGGCGAAGGCGGGTTCGGCGAAGGCGGCGGCGGCGACGGCGGGGGTTGGGGTGGGGGGCTGAACTGCGCGTCCGCGACGGACGACACGACCGCGAGCCACACCCCCGCGAGAGCGACGAGCCCGCGGGGGCGCGCCATCCTGCGCTCGGCGATGTGCTCGATGCTTGGGTTCGAATCTTCGAAACCAAACAAATCGACCGACCAGTTTGGTATCGAAGCACTCGTGCTGGAACTCGTGCTGCTGTCCGCGCGACCTTTGGCAGACCACAAAAGTGGCGGAAAATAATTTCTCGCGACCTTTCGCGAAATGAAACGTGACACTCTGCTCGCGCGACGCGCGCGAGGCCGTGCGCGTCGCGGCCGCGATGCAGAACATGTTCAACGCGGGTAACCCCCCGACGATGGCGCAGCTTCAAGCCCTGGGCGTGGTGAACGGCGGCGTCAATTTGATCGTCCCCGGGTTCAACGGAGCGGTCCCTCCGACGCCGCAAGGGATGATGATGCAATCGTCGAGCCACGCCGGAACGCGGACCGCGACGCCGCCGCTGCCGATGCCGCCGTCGCACGCGAGCGTCCCCGCGGACGACAGCGGCAACGACAAGCCCCAAAACGGGGACTTGACGTACTTCAGCGGAAGGAAGATCGTGAACAACGTCGTGACGAAGATCGCGACGCCGTACACGACCGGGCACATCCCGTGTCCGTACGGCTGCGGACGGTCGTTCAAGCACGCGACGCAGAAGGCGATACACGTGCGCAAGGTGCACACGGGGGAGAGACCGTTCACGTGCGAGCACGAAGGGTGCGGGCGGTCGTTCTACAGCAGCGGGGATCTGAAAGCGCACGGGAAGACGCACTCGACGACGAAGCCGTTCGAGTGCCCCGAGTGCGGCAAGTCGATGAGCTCGAGAAACTCGCTCAAGGTGCACATCAAGGCGCTGCACACGCTCGAGCGGCCGTTCAAGTGCGACGTCCCGGACTGCGGGATGACGTACATGACGCGGTTGGACTTGGACAGGCACCTGAAGAAGCACGTGATGTGGGACCAGAAGGCTGCGAAAGCGAAGGTCACGCAGCTGGAGAAGCGCACCGCCGTCGCGGAGAGGCGTCTCAAGGCGCTCGTGGAGAAGAATGAAAAACGCGACGCGAGAGAGAGCAAAAGCCGGCCGAGCTCGAGCTCGCGGCACTCCGTCCCGGGAAGGTTCGTGACGTGCGCGCCCGGGGAGGTCGTCCCCGAGGGCGCGATCGCGTGTTTCATCCCGAACAATCCGAGCAATCCGATCTCGTCCCTGGACGCTCTCGAGGCGTACGAGAAGAAGGCGACGCGCGCGCGCGGGGGCGGGAAACGCGACGGCGCGGCGGCGACGCAGAGCGGCGGGACGACGCTCACCGCCGACGACCGGAGCGCGTCGTACGACGACATCGCGCTGTCGATGCTCCCCGGGTTCAGCGCGAGATCCACGGGGGGCGGGGCTAGCTCCGCGAGGGATCGAGGCGAGGACGCGACGGTGCAAGGCGCGGGGGACGCGAAGGCGGCGTTGGCGCTCGCGTCCGGCGGCGGCGGCGGCGGCGGCGGCGGCGGCAAGCGGAAGGCGACGACGGACCCGGCGAAACCGCTGGGCGTCGTCGCGCGGAAGAAGCTGCTCGAGGCGAGGATGCGCGAGGAGTACGAGAAGAAAGGGTTCAAAGGGTCCATACCCTTTCAGTCGTGGCGGCGGGGGATGACCGCGGCCGACCGCGAGGCTCTGGAGCGAGAGCTCCTGCTCGAAGACGTCTCGGGGGCGTCACCGGGACAGGAGGCGGCGGCGTGAATTGTATTTTCCGCCCGCAGAGCGGACGCGGGGGGACGTCGACCGGGCGGCGCAGGCGTATCTTGTTAGTTATATTTGTTAGAATCGTGTGCACGGCGCGCGGATGCACATACGCGATAGAATGCTGTAATCAAGTGTATCTATGGGACTCCGAACGCCGCCGCGAACGAAAAACGGACCGGGGCGCGGGCGTGCGACTCCCAGCCAGCGCCAGTGGCCTCTCTTCGAAGCCGAGGAATCACTCGAACACCGCGCCCCCCACCCCACGCGGGACCATGGCGCGCGGTGGGGTCTCAGCGCGACGGGCGCGACGCCCCCCCTCCTACGGCCGCGGGCGCGCGTGGGGCACGCTCGTCGCGACGCTCTTCGCGCTCGCGCTGCTGTCGTGCGCGATCGCGCCCGCGGCGTGCGACGCGGACGACGGCGTGCGAGAGCGCGACGCGGCGCAGCTCCCGCACCTGGACGTGCGCGGGCACGACGACGAGCGATGGCCGGAGCCGGAGCCGGAGCCGCCGATTGCGCCGGAGCCGCAGCCGGAGCCGCGGTCGCGGTCGGTGCCGGCGACGGATGAGGCGCCCGCGCGCGACGACGCGCCGGGGAGCGCCCCGGACGAGATCTCCGCGCGCGGCGCGGATCTCGAGAGCGACCGGGATCATCGCGCTCGCGCGCCCCCTCCGGAGACGGAGGAGACGGGCGACGACGTCCTCGGCGACCCGGACGACCTGAAGCGCTCGAACGATCTCCGCGCGCATCAGGAGGCCGACCGCGAGACGCACCGCGACGCGACCGCGGAGGACGCGACGGAGGAGGATCGCGCGGCGCCGGAGGAGGAGGAGGACGCGCGCGGCCGCGACGAGGTGGAGGCGCGCGCGAACGCGTTTTACGGCGACGACGAGAGGTGGGACGAGCTCGACGCGCTCGAACGCGAGTTCGACCTCGCGACGGGCGACCTCGGCGACCTCGGCGACCTCGACACTCGCGACGAAATCGGCGACGTCCACGGCGCGACGCGGGACGGCGGCGACGCGGCGACGCGAGAAGATGCCGAGGACGCGAAGGACGACGCGGCGTTCGAGTTTGAGCGCGCGGAGCCGGAGACCGCGGAGGAGCGCGCCGCGCGTTTGAACGCGAGCGCGGCGGCGAGGGAGGCGTACGAATACAAACTCGTGGAGATGGAGGACATGCTGTACGCGGTAGACGACGAACGCAGGGACGTCGTGCGGGCGTTTAAAGACTTGTTCGCCTTTGTCGCGAACGCGCCGACGGCGGAGGAGGCGCGGCGAGTCGCGAGAAAGTCCGCGGACGCCGCGAACGCGAAGCAGTCCATGACCGCGAAGAAGAAGCTTCAAGACGCGGAGCGGAACATCCTGCGCGCGTTCGGCGTCGACGTCGGCGACGGCGACGACGCCGCGGGCGTTCACTCGGAGAACGTCTTACTCAACGGCGAAGACGCGATCGTCGTTGAGAAGATACCCGGCACCGGCGCGGTGCACGTCAAGTTCAACTTTCAGATGGCGGACGGCGAGCGAGGCCGCGGCGCGGCGCAGGCGGCGCAGGCGATCATGCAAGCGCTGGGGGTGGAGACGTCCTCGACGGGCGTCGACGCCGCCGCGGCCGCCGCGGAGGGCGCCGATCCCGCGGCGGCGGTGGACGGCGTCGTCGTCGTCGACGCCGCGGGGGACGTCACCGCGACGACGACTTCCGCGACGACGGCGACGGCGACGGCTGACGCGGACGCGGACGCGGACGCGGACGCGGGGGCGAGCGATGAAGCGGCGCGCCAGGCTGCCGCGGTCGAAGACGCGGCGGAGAAAGTTCGCGAGGTGATCAAGAGCACGCTCGACCCCGCGAGGGCGAACGCGGACGCCGCGGATGGGGAAGCGCTCGACGACGACGACGACGCCGAGCCGGACCCGTACGAGGACACCCCTGACGACTGGATCGCGGTATCCGACGCGCTGTTTCTCCTCGCGGCGCTCGTGGAAGCCGGTCTGGTGCCCCCCGACGCGTATCCCATCCCGGACGCGCACGCGGACGACCCGTTCTTTGACTACGGCACCGTGAGCTGGTCCTCGCGGCCGGTGGACGGCGCGCACCCGGCCAAGGCGGATCCGAAGGCGTGGGCGAGGACGGCGCTCGTCGTCTCCGGCGAGATGGGCTCCTCCGAGGCGCGGCTCGCGGTCGCGGACAGGGTGTACCACGCGAGAGGCGCGCCCGCGGAAGTGCTCGCGGGTCCGAAGTGCGAGACCGCGCTGGGGTGGATCAAGCCCGTCGCGGACGAAGCCGCGAAGGACGCGGAGAAGAACGAGGACTTCCAGCTCCCGCGGTCGCCCGGGTTACTGCGCGAGCGCGAGAGAGACGCGCGGTGGGTCAGCGAAGACCAGCTCGAGAACGGGAACGAGCAGATCTTCATGGAGGAAGACCTCGCCGCGCGGGGGGTGCCGGAGGCGCAGAGGCACCTGGGGTACCGCCGCCTCATGGGACGAGGCGTAGAGCGGGACGAAGCCGAGGCGTTTAGGGATTTCGAAGCCGCCGCCGCCGCCGGGGACGAGCTCGCGGCGTTTAACCTCGGGTACATGCACATGAAAGGCATCTCCACGCCGCAGAACTTCACGGAGGCGAGGCGACGCTTCGAGCACGCGGCGAGGACCAACAAGCTTCCCGCGGCGTTCAACGGCCTCGGGGTTTTACACTTCAACGGCTGGGGCGTGGAGAGAAACTACACCGCCGCTCGGCTCGCGTTTGAAGCCGGCGCGGCGAGGGGCGACCCGGATAGCAACTTCAACCTCGGCGCGATCTACCAAAACGGCCTCGGCGTGGACATGGACGCGAAGAAAGCAGTGGAGTTTTACGAGGCCGCATCCGAGGCTGGGCACTGGCGCGCGCCGCACGTCCTCGCGATTGCGCACCACACTGGGTCCGGGACGGATGTAAATTGCACGCGCGCGGCGGAGCTGTATAAAACGTTCGTCGACGAACGCTTAGGTTGGACGCGTCTGCAGGACGACGCGATGGCAACCTTAGACGGCGGCCCGGTCACGGACGACGAGACGCAGAAAACCACGGACGCCGCACCCGACGCGTGGGGCGCGCTCGTGAAGTACGTCCTCCTCGCGGAGCAAGGTAGCGCGAGCGCGACGTCGAACGCGGCGTGGGTGTTGAGAAAATCCAAAGACGCGGTGATCGCGTCGAGCGGCGGCGTGCTCGACCGCGAGACGTTCTTCACCGTCGCGAGGGAGATGCTCGAGCGCGCGGTCGTCATGGGCGAGCACGAATCGCACGTCGACCTCGGCGATTTGCACTGGGAGGCGGTGAGAGCGTCCGGCGGGCCGAGACCTTTCGTTCCGAGAAGCGTCGAGGAGGGCGCGTCAAACGGCGGAGAGACGGCGTCGAACGAGGGAGAGACGGCGTCGAACGAGGGAGAGACGGCGACGCCCTCGCCTTCGCCTTCGCCGCCGCGGTTCCCTCCCCGAGACGCGTCCCCCGAGGAGAGGGTGTACTTCCACTACCGCGCAGCCTCGGACGCCGGGTCCGTGGAGGGCGCGGTGAACCTCGCGTGGTAGGGATCCCCTCACTTTCCCGTATCTTCGTTCGTTTTCGTTACATATCATGGTCTACACGTTCGTTTCCGCCGGTTCCGTCAGATTGTCGACGCTATCTCGCGACATCGTCGCGATTTACTCTGCCTATTTCATCGCTTCGTCTTTTTTTGTGCGGGTGACTCTAACAAGTGGGCGATGTACGCCGGCGTCGGCGTACATCGGGACGTCCGCGGCGCGACGGTTCAACTCGAACGCGCGCTCGAACGCTCCCAGGACGCGTCCGAGGCGTTCGCGCCGCTCATGGCGCTGATCGGTCTCCGGTGCTCGCACTTCGTCGAGAACGTCGTCGCGTCCGCGCGCGAGGCGTCGACGCGCGCGTACAGGGTGTACAGGTTCTTCAAGCGTCCGGAGGAGCCCTGGAAGGCGATGCGACGGAAAGACCCCCCGGCGCCGGCGCGCGACGCGGAGAAGGCGCGGCTGAAGGAAGCCAACGCGCGCGCGCTGAACGAACGAGACCGAAAGGCTACGAGACGCTCCGATCCTCGACGGCTGCAGCCCGTGTTCAGATCCACCGAGGACGCCGTCCTCGTCGTCTTGTGCGCGTGCGTCGTGCTGCTTTTGTACACGCGGTTCGTCGTGATGCGGCGGTACGAGACGCTCGCGTCGAGAGGCGCGAGACGCGAAGACGCCGGGTGGATCGGGGCGCAGATCTTGTACGCGGGGGCTGGGCTCGCGTGCGCGGTCGCGATTCTGATCGGGATCACGGTGTACGACTTCGCGGTGAGCGTCTTTTGAAGTAGATAGCGGAGACGGCGGCGTTAAACGCCGCGACGAGACAACAAATCATTCTCTCCCGTCGCCCGTCCCGTGCGTTTCGTCCTGTCAGTGACGTGTCGGCGTCAGGTCGTCCAAGCCCGGTCTGGTTATCCGATCGCGTCGCGCTCCGTTCGCGACCTCGCGCTCGCTCTCCCGCCGCGTCACAACCGAACGCACGATGCTCGCGTGCGCTGCATCGCGCGCGGTGGTCGCGACGTCCGCGCGGACGCGCGGCGGCGCGACCCCCCCGACGCCGACGCGCGCGATCGCGGTTCCCAGCAGAAGGCACCCGCGCTCGCACGTCTGCCGCGCGGGCGCCCCGGTCGACGACGAGGACGACCTGTTCTCGTTCCTCGAGGCGCAGATGAACGACGACGCCGACGGCGACGCCGGCGGCGCGTCCTCGTCCTCGTCCGGGGACGACGACGGGGTGCCCGAGCCCGGCTCGCCGATGACCGGCGAGGAGCTGCGCATGCTCGTGCTGAACAAGTGGGGGAAGATGTACGACACGCGCATCCACCAGCGAAGAGACCAGTTCAACAAACTCGGTCTTTATCTGCAGATAATGTGGAAGCACGTCGGGCAGAAGAGCTTCCCGATGACGGAGCAGCAGTACGTCGAGCAGTTAAGCGCCGTCGCGGAGCTGCTCACGGAGTGGGGGGCGCAAGACGTCGTGAGGCAGAAGCTCCCGCAGAGCACGAAATTTCCAAAGATGGACACGACGGGCGCGAACGCGGTGATGATCCCGCTCGATATCGAGCTCGACGATTGAGGGTCGAGGATCGAGGAGGGGCCAGACGTAGGACCTACAGTGCGCGGTGTCCCAACCTCGTTGGCGTTGACAATACACGTGAAGACTATCGCGCGCGCCGAACCGAACGTCAATCGTCCGTCGCGTCGCGCGCTAACTCGCCGTCGACGACGCCCTCAGCCGTTGTCGGTCCGCGCATTCTCCCGCCGCGCCGCCCCCCATGACGCCCGCGCCGACGCTCTCTAACACGTGCATCTGCCGTTTGACGTGCGCGAGGCGTAAATACAGCGGACGAAGATGCCTCTTATCCTCCTTCGTCGCTTTCCTTCCGCTGCACGCGAGGACGTGGTTATCGAACGACCGCAGCCGTCGTTTGATCTGCTGCTTCTCCGTCGCGAGCGCGTCCGGGGCTAGGCCTAAGACCGGGGTTTTATACAGAATCTCCAGCCCGGTCCCCGCGGCGCGGTCGATCTCCGCGGTGAACACGTCGTCCCCGCCAAACAAGGACCCCACGCACGTCGACATCCACGCGTCCGCGACGGCGGCGGGGTCCTTCGCGCGTCCCGCGGCGGCGGCGGCGGAGGGAAGCACGACGTCCACCACCCTCGGCCGCGCCTCCGGCGCTGTGGCGGCGAGAACGACTGGCTTCTTCGCCGTCGCCGTCGCTTTCGCGCCGATCGTCGCGCTCGGCGCGTTCTCCTTGCCCGCGGCATTCAAATCCAGCGCCCGCGGCGCGTTCGCAGACGCGGCCGCTCTGCCCTCGTTTCTGTCGTTTCTCGCGTCGTCGTTGATATTCCCACCCGAGTTGACGCGAGTCGTGAGCCCCTTGCCGCTCTTGCCCGGCTCGTTCGCTCGGCTCCCGGCGCCCTTGTTCCCGCCTAAGATGTCGTTCCTGTGCTCGATGAGGAGCTCGATGACGTGGTCGCCTCGTTTCGCGTCGTCCTTTGCCGCGTTTTCGTCGCCGCCGCCGCCGCCGCCGCCGAAAACGCCGCCGCGCAGTCGGAGCAGCACCGGGCTGAACGCCCGCGCGAGTTGTTTCACCGCGACGACGTGCGCGTTCATCGCGTCGTCCCCGGTCCCGTGCCCGCCGGTCGCGGCCGCGAGCGCGATCGCGACGCGCTGCAAGAAGGCGAGCACGGCGTTCAGCGTCGCCCGCGACGGCGGGTCTAAATGCGACAGCAGCGAGCTCAGCGCCAATACGCGGCGCGATCGCGTCGGCACCGCGGCGACGGCGAGGAGGGAGTCGTACATCCGATACGAAAGAAGCGGTTCCGGCAGCGAGCGAAGGAAAAGCTTCAGGACGCCCGCGACGTCGTGCGCGTCGTTCGCATTCTTCAGCGGCATCACGTCCCCGCGCTCGTACCGAGACTTCACGTCCGCGATGACGGATTCGCACCCGGGCGACGCGAACAGGCCGTCCGTGACCTTGACGCCGACTGCGTGGGTGTGTGAGGGGTAAGAGAGGGGCGCGGGCGCGTGAGACGACGCGCGCGGAGGTCGCGGTCGGGGCGGGGACGCGGCGGGGTGTCGCCGCGCCGGGGGAACTTCTCGATTCCAAATTGTTACCACGCGCGACGCCGCGAGCTGTCGGAGGATCCGAGGGGAACGCGCGCGCACCGTGCGCGTCGAGCCAGGCGATCGTCTCCGCGACGACGCGCGGAATCCCGCCGCCGTCGGCGCACGCGTCCCTAATGGGAGCGCCGAACGCCCTCATCGCGTCCTCGAGCCGTGAGGACGCGTCTCGGAGTGTCCCGACGCGCGCGGGGGAACACGTCGTGTCGTGAAATAAAAGTTTCCGAGACCGCGACCGCGGCCGAGAGCAGAGGGCCTGGCGAGTTCTGGCTTCTGGAGTGACGGATGCGTTTTTCTCACCAGACGGACTCGCGCCACCATCTAACTAAGCTACCATCATCCCACTAAGTAAGACTCCCCCTAAGACACCCCCGTCGCCTCCACGGCTCTATCCAACGCGCTCGCGGCCCACTCCACGACCCCGCGGACGCGCGACATCTCGACGACGTGCCACGACCCGAACGCGCCCACCGCGAAAAACTGCGCGTCCACCTCCGACTCTGACTCCAAGTACGCGAACGAACAAAACACGAAGTCGACCATGACCCTGCGGCCTTGCAGCGCGCCCCCGATGTCGTTCACCGCGTTCTTTATCATCCGCACGACGTTCAAGTTGGACGCGTCGTGGACGTTCCGCTCGTTGATTCTTCGCCGGCGTTCGTCGAGGAGGACGTCCCAGCACCGTCGGCGGGCGCTCTCGTCCCGACCCGGGTTGCTCGTGAACGCCGCGCCGAGGGCGACCAAGAGCGCGGCTCGGAACAGCGCTCGCAGCATCGGCATGAAGACGATCACGAACGCGAGCACGCACGCGTTCGCGGCCGCGGACTGCCCGCTCACGGGCTCGGACGCCCACCGCGGGTCTCTCCTCCCGCCGGCGCCGGCGCCGGCGCCGTCGCCTTCGCGATCTCGCTCGCGTCCGTCACCGCGCGCGTCGTCGCCGCCGCCTCGCGCGTCGCTCGCGCCTCTCGCGCTCGCGCGTCGCCGCGGCGTGCTCTCGTTCTCCCTTCTCGTCGCGTGAGGCTGTGGGGGGTCGAGGAACGCGCGTCAGACGAGGTGCGAGCGCGAACGAAACGTGAGCGTCGTGGGCACTCTCCGCGCGAGGCGAGGACGCGCGGAGGGAAACGAGATGGGTCGCGGCGCGAGGGGAATGCGCGCGCGTTCGTCGTCGCGTACCGACGCGGCGAAGCCGTGCATGAAGCTTTGGAAGTCCTCCATCGCGGACCGACGCCGTCGGCGCCCCCCGGCGCGGGGGAATGGCGACGACCGGCGGGGAGATCTCGACTCGTCGAAAACGAGGCTGATGTTCGTTTCGCGAGTACGACTAGAGCTCATCACACCGAGCGCGCCCCGCACCTCCGCGCGCGGCCGACGCGCGAAGAGATGCGCGCGATCGCGTGCCGCGCTGCCGCGACTCCGCTCGCGTCGTCCTCGCGCCGCCGCCGCGATTTCGCCGCGTCCTCTAGTCGCGCGCGAGCGTCGGTCGCGAACGCGCGCTGGCGCGTCGCGACGACGCGTCCCCCGCGCGCGCGTCGATCGCGCGTCGCCGCGAGCTCAAACGCGAGCGTCGGGGTGATGGAGTGGGATCTCGTGCTCTACCCCGACGACGTCGGCGAGTGGAGCGTCGGGAAGGTGGAGACCATCGACCTCGACGACGGCGAGTGCGTGGTTCAGCCGCTGTTCGAGGAGGCGGACGAGCAGGGGGAGAGAACGCGCGTTTGGCTCGAAAGTCATTCGCGGCCGCCGAGGACGGTGAAACTGAGCGACATCAGGTGTGTTCTCGACGCGGACTTCGCGCAAAGGATGGCGCCGGACCGGGTGTCAAACCCGCACGGCGAACACGCGGAGGATTTCTGGGAGATCACGGCGGAGCTGCCGCCGGGGACGCGACGGGACGACGATTGACGGCGACGACGACGACGCGCGCGCGTTCACCTTCGAGCGCCGCCGTTTGCGCGACGCTGGCGACGTGATGCCCTTACTTGATAACTTAGTCTTTTACAACATAAAGATTTATACTTTCACGGCAACCTACGCCGCGTGCAACTTTTTTGCCTACTACAAATACAACGTTCTTCAACGAGAGCTGCGTGGCGTTTCGCATTTTCGCGCAAACGCCGAAGCCGCCGTTGATACGTTTTTCGTCCGAGCGTCCGCTCAGACGTTGATCTCGCCCCCGCCGGACGCGGTCAAACTCTTGAACCGCTCCTTCAGTTCAGGGTCAGGATTGTTGCTCATGAGATCCAGCCGTCGAATCGAGGCTCGAATACCGTACGAACACTCGACCGCCGCGGTCGTCGTCTGCGCCGGCGACGGAAACCCGCCGACGAAATCCGCCGCGGCGCCCTCCGCGCCGCCCCCCTCCGAGTTGGCGTCCTCGCCGTCGCTCAGACCGACGGCATTGAACAGCTTCGTCGTCGCCGCCGCGGCGTCCGCTCTCGCCGCCGCGGCGACCGCGTTTGTCGTCAGCACGGACCTCAAGACGCTTCCTCCGTGCGACGACGTGTCTTTCGAGTGCGGGAGCGAGTGCGCGGCGCAACAGCGCGTTCCGTCCGACCCGGACGACGATCCGCTCCGAGCGCTGCCCGGCCGCGACCGCGGCCGCGCGCATCGCGTGCATTTCGGCTCGAGCGCGTCCGCGAGCGCGTGCAAGCCGTCCACGCCGATCACGTTCTCGCTCGCGTCGATCGCGTGCAGCGCGCTCGTGACCCACCCGCCGTCGACGCCGATCCGGGGTTCCACGGCGGCGGCGAGCGCCGTCGCGCCGGCGTCGCCCATCCCGTTTCCGGCGACGCCGAGCGCTTTCAAGCTCCGGTTCACGACCCAGTGCCCGTCGCCCGGGCCCGGGAGCGAGAAAGGGAGCTTCTCGCGTCGCGGCGGCGCGTCCCAGACGCGGTTCGCGCACGCGGCGCACTCGCAGCCTTCGCCGCCGGCGCCGACGCACGCGAGCGCGGCGAGCGACCCGTCGCGGGGGTCGGCGGTCGCGTCGACGGCGCTGTGCCGCCGCGCGCGTCCGGACACCGGGCGCGAGCTCGCGAACAGTCTGCCGGACGCGGGGCGCGACGCGCTCGTGAACGAAGCGCCGCGCGGGGTGAGCGCCGGGGTGAGCGACCCCGGGGTGGACCCCGGGGAGGAGCCCGTCGACATGCCGAGGACGTGCCCGCCGCCGTCCGAGTCGCTCAGCGCCGGCGACGACGCGCGCGACGCCGTCGTGTGCTCCGCGCACGCCCACAGGCACCACCGCGGCTCGAGCGCGGTCGCGATCGCGCAGATGCCTTCCGGCCCGATGTTGTTGAACTCGAGGTTCAGCACCGCGAGCGCGCCGCCGCCGGGGATCCACCGTCGACGCGCTCTTCGCTCGGACGCGTTGGCGCGTCGGTCGAGAAGATTCGAGACGGACCCCGGAAGCCTCGAGTCGGACGGCGACGACGACCCCAACGGCGCGGCGTTCGACCCCGGCATCACCGGGAACGTCCCCGGGGAGGACGCCCCGGACAGAGACTCTGGCGAGCTGTTGTCCGCGGCGTCGACGTCCACCGCGACGGGCTCGATCGCGGCGGCGATGGCCTCCGCGCCCTCCCTCCCCATCGCGTTGTCTCTCAAGTCAAGCACCCTGAGCGCGGTGTTGAACGCCCACATGGACTCCTCCGTGGCGTTGACCTTGTCGCTGAGGTTGTTGCGTCGCGGCGCGATCGCGCGCGCGATCGCCTGCGCGCCCGCGACGCCGATGGAGTTGCCCCCGAGGTGCACCTCGCGCATCTTCGCGTTGAACACCCACCGTCCGAAGCCGACGCCGCCGCCCGCGCCCGCGCCCGCGGCGTCTCCGCCCTCGATCGGACGCCACGCGGCGCCCGCGCCCGGGTCGCCGTCCGCGGCGAACTCGCGCGCGTTCCCTCCCGCGACGCACCACACCGGCTGCAGCGCGACGCCGATGTGGCCCGCGCCGACGTCCCCGAGACCGGTCCGAGAGAGGTTCAAAACCCTCAGCGTGCTCGGGAAGACGTACGTCGGCGCGCCGCGAATCGTCGTTCGCCGCGGCGCGACGACGGACGCCACCGCCTTGCCGCCTTCTTCTCCGAGGAACACGTTCGCGAGGTGCAGCGTCGTGAGCGAGCTCGAGAACGCCCAGGATCCGTCCGGGTTCGCGCGCGGGGATAAGCTCTCCCCGATCGCGAGCGGCCCGGCTTGAGACAAACACGAGTTCATGTTCGCGTGCAGGTGACGAAACGTCGGGTTGAAGCACCAGCATCCGTTGAGCGCGACGGCGGGTTTGAACGCCCTCGCGAGGTGCGCGAGACCGAGATCGCCGAGCTGGTTCCTTCCCACGTTCAGAGACTCGAACTTCGGGTTGAACACGAGTTCGCCCGTTCTTTGCTGCCGTCTGGGCGCGATCGCGTCCCCGAGCGCGCGCGCGCCGTCCGGGCCGATGTGGTTGTGAAACAGCGAGATGTTCGCGACGCCCGAGCAGTACACAAAGTCGCCCATCTCGTCCACCCTCGGCGTGAGCAACCGCGACAGCGCGCCCGCGCCGACGGCGTCGATGTCGCAAAAGTTAAAGTTCAGAACCTTCATCGTCGTGTTGCACACCCACTTACCGCCGCCGACGCGTTGCACGTGATCGAGGCTCACGTCCTCGAGCGGCGGCTCGGATTTCCCGTCGCCGCCGCCGTAGACGTACTCCGCGACGTTGGGATCGGAGGGGACCCACCGCGGACACAACGCGCTCGCGATGGCGATCACGCCCTCGGTGCCGATGCTGTTGAACTCCAAGTTCAGCGTGCGCAACGTCGTGTTGAACACCCACGACCCGTCCCCGTTGCGCCGCCCGTGAAGCGCCTTCGCGATGAACTTCGCGCCCTCCGGCCCGATGGACGCGTTGGCGAGGTTCAACCCGGTGACGCGCGTGTTGAACGACCACGCGCCAGTCGCGACGCACTTCACAGGGATGACAACCTCCGTGAGACGCTGCTTCAAGTTTGGCGTCGCGCGCTTGGGGCGCGACGCCTTCACCGACGCGGGGCCGACCGGCGCGGCGGCGCCCGCGACCGGGGGGTTCGCGCGCTGCTGCTGGATCACGCCGCTGCCGCCGCCGCCCGCGCCGCCGCCGCCGCTGATGCTCTCCCACCGCCTTCGAAGCGCCTTCATGACGTCCGAGTCCTCCACGTTCGCGGCGTCCACCGCGGCGGCGTTGGAAGCGACCAGGCTCACGTCTTCTTGATCGGTCGCGTCTTTCTTCATCGCGTCGTGGTGTTTGGTCAGGTCGTCGTGCGACACTCTTCGACGTTTGAACGCGCTCCCCGGGGAGTCGTTCGTCTCGTTCGTCCGCTGCGCCTTGTTTCGGTCGTCTCGCGCGCCCGCCGCGTCCGTCGCGCTCCCGCCCCGCGACTCGGTGTTATCCGGGCTCGGCGTGTCCTCGATCAGCCCGCGCTCGTCCCCGTCCTCGTCCACGCTTCGGAGCATCTTCATCGACGCGACCCTGAACACCTTGCTCTGCGTCTCCGCGTCGCCCGGGAAGGACCCGTCCTCCGCGCGCGCGTCCGAGCGCATCTCGCTCGGCGACTCCGGCGCCGGGTCCACCCAGTCCCAGCTGTTGCACGACGCCTCCGGGAGCCTTCTGAGCGCGGGGAGCTGTCCCACGCCGGGGCCGCGGCGGGTGGCGCCGGCGGAGTCCGTCTCCATCCCGTCCAAACTGGGACGCGGCGAGCCGCGCGAGCCCAGGGTGGGCGTGGACGCGCCCCCCGCGCCCTCCTCGCGGTCTCGCGCTCTCCACAAGGCGGACATCAGACGCTTCGATTCGACGTCCCCGAACATGAGCCTCGCGGCGGCCTCCATCGGAGACGCGCGCGCGATCTCGTCGCCTTCGTCTCCCGCGCTCGATCGCGTCGTCCTCGGGACGTCCTGTGGGGGGGATGACGGGGGTCAGAACTCGCGTCGAGCGCGCCGATCGCGAGATCGCGGGCGAGAGCGAAGATGAGATCGGAAAAAACTCGGTCACAAAAAGCGCGGTCGAAAAAAACCGCGAAGAGGATCTCGCGCGCACCGTCGCGAGCTGATCCACGGCGATCCAGTTGCTATCGCGCAGCGCCGTACCGAGCGCGCTGATCTGCGCCGGGGTGAACGCGCGCGCGCGCTCGAGCGCGGCGGACACCACCGCGTGCGCGGTCTGCGAGCCGTCCTGTGACGGCGGCGGGGAGTCGACGATGGTTCTTCCCGCGCTGCTGGTATTGTAGGCACACTCGTTTTCGGTCTGGCTGCCGACCGCGCCGCGTCCACGAGAGGCCACGGGCGAGAGCACCGCGAGGCCGTGATCGATGTGCGCGAGCTGTTTCGGCGACGGCGACGGCGGCGCCTCGCGCGCGTTCGGGTGCTTGTGCCGCTTGAACCACGCGGACGGGCTCTCCGGCGCGTCCTCTAACGACTTCCACCCCTCCGTCCTGCGTTTCGATCGTCGCGGCGGCGGAGGGAGCGGCGTCAGGACGCGGGGGGGAGCGGGGGTCGCGCGGCAAAAAAAAGAGAGGGGCTCGGGAAAAAAAAAATAACAAGAAAAGCGTGGTAAGGCGGAAGGTTGCAGGCAAGCCGCGGGGACGCGCGCGGGGACGCACCGTAATCGACTCAGCGCGTGCAAAACGAGCGGCATGAGCTGCGCATATCCCATCTCCGGATTCCCGATTTTCGGCGACGTCGGATCGTCGTCGCGCGCGTCCATGAGGCACAAACCGGTGTCGACGCTCACGCTTCCGATCGCGTTCCGAGGGTTGTTCGATGCGTCGTTCGCCGAACCCCGCGCGCGCGCGCGTCGCGCGGAAAACCGCGTCAGCTCCGGGCGCGCAGCGTCGACGGACCTCCTTCGCGCCGATCGAGGCCGAGCGCGTTCCGAAGGAGGTTGCATCAACGCGATGGCGCTCCTCGGGGAGTCGAGCTCGAGCGAGACCTCGTCGCACGCGAGGTCGTCCGGCGCGCACGCGACGGCGATGGCCCCGCCGTCGATTTTCCCGATTTCGCGCATCCCCGTCCCGGTCCCCGCGCGCGCGCGATCGATCGCGGGAATCGATTCGGGGTCCCGTCCACGTCTCCGTGGGGGATTATGCCGGCGTCCCCGCGTCGGTCGCACGCGTTGGCGTCGTCCCGACGCGCGCGCGTCCGCGAAAGTGCGTCGCGGTGCGTGGTTTTTTCCAGATAAATATCTTGACAAAAGAGCGCACGGGCGCGAAAAACGAGAGTCGAGAGTCGAGACATCGTGTTTCAGTCTCGTCCGCGGATCGCGTTCGGACATTTCTCACGAACCCCACTCGCCGAGGCGGCTTTTTCCCTCAAACGGCCAATTAAATCGCGCCCGGTCGCGCCAAAAGGCCAAAGTTTGCGAGATTTTTATCGAGCTTTTTGGCGGCGAAAAAGGTTGTGGGTCGGCTTGCGGATTTCGTTGGATTCGACCGGAGACAGTTGTAGACAGTTGTCGTAAACTCCGGAAGAAACCGACGAGCGCCACGCGCGACGCGAACCGACGACGTTCGTTCCGCCGCGCCGCGCTGGGGACGGTCGACGACGTTCCCCCTCCCTCGTCCCCGCGCGTCGTCCCCGCGGGGGTATCCGCGCGCGTCGACCGGTCGCGCCGCCGCGGTCGCGGTCGCGGTCGCGCCGCACCGCGCGCGTCCCGACGCGTCCGCGCGCGCCGTCGACGTCCATCCATCCGTCCCGTCCCGAGGAAGGAGAGAACCAACTTCAAAAAAAACTCTTCGCGCGAGAACAGTGCGACAACCGTTTTCACGCACTGCACGGGAAAAAAAGGGAGGGGAGCGGACGCGGTCGCGTCGTCTCATCTCGCGCGCTCGCGACGGCGGTCGCGTCACTCGTCGCGCGCGCGCGGACGTCACGCCACGCCCGCCCCGACGCGCCTCCCCTGACTCGCGTCGACAGAACAGCGCGCGGCCGCGATACGATGCCGACCGCGCCGGAGGATCCGTGGGCGAGCGTGCGCGACCTGCGCGGGGTCGCGCATTACGAGATCTTACAGATCAAAACCGACGCGACGCCGGCGCAGATCCGCGGGGCGTACAGAGCCGCCGCGCGCGCGCATCACCCGGACAAGGGCGGCGACGCGAGCGCGTTCGCGAAAGTCCAGCTCGCGTTCGAGACGCTGTCGGACCCGAAGCGACGCGAGACGTACGACCTCCTCGCGCGCGAGCACGAGTTTCGATACATCCCAGGCGTGACCCCTCGCGCGCGCGGCGGCGAGGACGTCCTGCTCGACGACCTCGAACGCCTCGGCCTGCGCGTCGACGGCGGGACGCAGCTCGTCGCGCTGTGCGAAGTGTGCGGACGACCGTCGAACAAGGTGTGCTACGCGTGCACGTGTCTCTTCTGCGACTTTTGCTCGAGGAAGCCGCACTGGAAGGGCGCGGTGGGACTGCACTACCCGGTGACCAACGCGCCGGGGTCGATGGCGAAGAAACTCGCGGAGAAGGAGCTCGAACAGAAGCGCATCGAGGACGCGGAGAAGCGGCAGCTCGCGGACCCGAACTACAGGACAGATCGGGAGCTACAAGAGGCGAGGGCGTTCAAGGAAGCGGCCGCGGAAGTGTACGGGATAGCGGGCACGCGCGCGGCGTCCGCGCCCGCGTTGCCTCCCGGCGGCTCGCGCGCGGGCGACGGCGACGGCGACGGCGTCGAGTCGATCGAGACGCCCGGGTACGCTTCGTCGTTGACAGCGAGAAGCACGCACCACACGCGGACGTACGACCTGCGACTCGCGAAGTACTACAAGTGGGCGCAGACCGAGCAGTTCGTGTACGTCAGCGTCCACGTCCCGACCTCGTACGAGGACAAAGAGCTCGTCGTCGACGTCGCGGACGGCGCGAGCGGGGTTTTGAAAATCCAAGCCGAGGACAGCGCGCCCGTGATCGAACGCCGGCTCGCGTACCGCATGGACGTCAACGCCCCGGTGGACTCCGTGGTATCAAAAGACAAGCGACGGATGACCATCACGCTCACGAAAGCGGAGCCGGGGAAGCACTGGAGGCGGTTGTTCGAGGGCGACCCCGACGGCGCGCGGTGTCTGAAGGCGCCGTACTCGCTTCACGAGAGCGACGAAGACGTCGTCATGGAGTTTGAGCTGCCGTTCTGGATCTACGCGGAGGACATCGACGTGAAGGTGACGGACGCGGACGTGAGTGTCAAAGTGCGCGGCGAGATCGACAACCTGCGGAGGACGTTTTGGAAGTGCGAGGATAAGCACGGGTGCAAAAAACCGCTGATCGTCGCGTCGGAAACCGCGTGGTCGCTCGACAAGGAGACCAAGCCCGGGACGAACGAGCCCGTGCAGATGCTCACCGTGTGCATGATGAAGCGCGAGCCGGACCAGACCGAGATCGGATTCAAGAAGGGCAAGGTCCAGGACAATCGCTACGCGGGCGGGCACAGCACGCCGGCCGATAAGAAGGGCGTCCGGCTGTTCGTCGACGACCGCGACGACTATTTCCTCGAGGACGATTTGATGGCGCTGTGCTTTCTCGAGACGGGGACGACGTGGCGCCCGGCGAAGCCGTGGAACAAGTACTGGGGCGGTCCCGCCGCTTCTGGTCCCGGATTCAAGGCTGGCGACGACGCGCCCGTCGACGCGGAGGTGCGCGACGTCGACGCGTTGCCCGCGAACGCGCGCAACGCGCTCGAGCAGCTGTTGGAGATTGAAGAGAGAAACGCCGCGCCGGACGCCGCTCGCGGGGAAAAGCAAAAGCCGGCGGCGACGTGGGACGACGACGACGACGACGACGACGACGTGGCGTATTAATGAAACCCTGCCCTGTGTGTGCGTGTGCGTTCGTTCACTCTATGCTAAGCTACCTTGTCTTGTCGTGAACGAGCGAACGAGCGAACGAGCGAAATGACGCCTCCCGCGTCGTCGCGTCGAACCAGAATTCTTCCTCGTCGCCCTTCCCGGCGGCGGCGCGGTGGGTTTTGGTTTTTTAGGTTTTTTTCTCCCCGTCGCCGCCCGCGGCGAGATACGCGCCCTCGCCCTCCCAGAAGAACGCGTCCTGATCCACCGCGGCGGCCGCGACCTCCTCCGTCGGCGTCTCGTCCTCCCAAAACGCCTCGTCGTCCTCGGACTCGGACTCGGACTCGGACTCGGACGCGAGCCGACGCGCCGTCTCGGACGCCGCTTTCATCCTCTCCGCGACGGCGGCGGCCGGTAACCAAAACCCGTCGTCGTCGCTCGAGTCGCCGTCCTCCTCCGCGTCGATCGAGGCGGGGAGACCTTCGGACACCCCGAGATCTTGATCCATCCCCACGTAACAGTCCGACACGAGGTGCACGACGAGGTCGAGCTCGGGGCCGCGACCTCCGCCGATCGGCGCGTCCGGGGCCGCGTATGTCAGCTTCGCGCTCGCCGCGCCGCCGAACCCGACGCGTCGCAACGCGAGGAGCTCGCCGCTGATTCGATCGCCCAAGACGAGCCACCATCCTTCCTCTTTGAGCTTCGGGAACAGCGGACACACCGCCCTGGGCGCGGAGGACCGACCGCCGCCGCCGTTTCCGCCGTCTTTACCGCCCCTCGCGTGTAAACGCTTCAAGTGCACCTCGACGACGCCTTCGTCCGCTTTTCCGCCGCCGGCGCTGGCGCGCGAAGTTTTCACAGACGACGCGCGCATCATCACGGACGGATACCGAGCCGCGACGTTCGTGGTCTCCTCCGCGGTTCTGCCGCTCAAACCGGCGGCGCACAGCGCCTTCTTCGCGCCCGCGCGGTCCTTGATCGCGCGCGTCACGAACTGCGGCAGAGACTTCACCCCCCCCCGACGAAGCTTCCCCGCGACCTCCGCGTCCACGTGCGGCAGCGTCGTGAGTGGCGAGTCCGTGAGGAACCTCCCTTGCATGACCATCTGCATCAGACGCATCGCGTTGAGCGCGGTGTGCAGCCACCCCGCGTCCGACGCGACGTCGATGATCGCCTGAATGATTCGAATCGCCTGGTCGAGCACCGACTTGGTGTCCGTGACGTAGTCGCTCATCGGCAGCGGCACGCGAAGGAAGTGCGCTTGGAACAAAAGGTTCGCCTTCGTGTGCGGATCGTCCGCGAGCCGCGCGTCGACGGCGAACCCGCCGGCTTCTTTCACCCTGATCGCGAGCTCCGCGTTGACTTTGTCTTCGTTGTGCCTCACCGGGAGCTCGTCGTACTCCGCGACGCCGCAGAGCGTCTTTAAGAGTTGCTCCACCGTGTTCGCGTGGCTCAAGCTCGACGCGAACAACGCCACGGACGGGTGCTGGAGGTAGTAATACGACGCGATGCGACCGAGCAGAAGCGGCGCCACGGAGTCGTCCTCGCCGATCTCGACGCACCGCGCGTCTTCGAGCATCACGAGCGCGTTCTCGACGAGCCTCGATAAGAACGCGTTGAGTTCCGCGTGCTCGACGCCTTCGCAGTCGTAATACGACGGGTTCTGCACCAGACGACGGAAAAAATACGTCCACGTGAGGTAGTCCACCGCGTCTTGCTTCGAGCGTATCGTCCCCGCGACGACCTCTGCGTTGAAGTGGTCCGGGAGGTTGTCCGCCAGCGACGACTCCACGGGGAACGGTTCGTACAGGAACTTTTTATAAAACGCCTTCTTCGGCTCGTGCACCATGATGACGCAACAGCCGCTCTTGTCGAACTGCGGCCGCCCGGCTCTGCCCATCATCTGAAGCACGTCCGTGATCGGGAAGTCGACGTACCTTCGACTCTTGCCGTCGTAAAACTCCGTGCCTTTGATGATGCACAGGTGCGCGGGCAGGTTCACCCCCCACGCGAGCGTGGACGTGCACACGAGCACTTGAATCTTACACTCCGCGAAGAGCTCCTCGCAAATCGCCCTGTCCTCCGGGGATAATCCGGCGTGGTGAATGCCGATGCCGAACTGCAAACAGTGCTTCAGCGCGGGATCTCTCGCCCTGCGAACGACGCCCGCGAGCTCGTTCGCGGACATGTGCACGAAACCCTCCGGTCGCTCGTCCGCGGCGGCGTACGCGATCAAATCCATCGCGGTGAGGCGCGTCTGTCGGCGCGACGACACGAACACGAGCGTCGGTTTCTCCGGCGAGTGCGTGCGAATCGCCGCGTACGTCGGCTTGTTCATCGTCATCATCCGCGGGCAGTAAAACTTACCCGGGAAGCCTTGGATGTGGCACTCAAGCGGCACCGGCCGCACGGACGGACGGAAGTTGAAGAGGCCTTCGTCTTCGATCCCGAGCCAGTCGCCTAAATCGCGCGCGTTCGCGAGCGCGGTGGACAGACCGACGATCCTCACAGGCTGCTTCGTCCGCGCGGAGATGTACCGCATGCGCGAGACGATCACCTCGAGGATCGGCCCGCGGTCCGCGCCGAGGAGGTGAATCTCGTCGATGACGACCAGGGACACTTTCTGGACGTACGCGCGCGACTGCCAGTTCGTAAGGTCGCATACGTGCATTCATCAAAGCCAGGTGAGTCATCGACAAATATACGTTTGTGTCATGGATGACGAGAACGTCCGTGTCAGAGCGTCTGTGTCATTCGATATGTGAAGAAACCGACGGAACAGACGGACAGGGGAAAGGCGGCGACGATCGATTGAAAATTTCCCAAGGGAAAAAGAGGGGAGCGTCAGAGAACGAAACGATTTTTTTTTTTCGAAAAATAGGTCAAAGGTCGAATTGCACTTGTACCACGGCCGCCTCCCCGGCTCGAACAGATTCCCGACGCGAGAGTCGACGGTGAAGTACGTAAGTGGAACGCTCAAATTAGCCGCTACTAGCGAAAAGGAATTCTGGCAGCGATCGCAACGACGTATCGGTGAGTCTGGACACAGTGGTGTCGGTCTTGGTCTCTTAGTTCCGCTCCGCACTGTATCACATTCAGGTGGGAAAAAAATCCGCAAGCACCTCCACAGCGTCGCGCTCTCTGGGACACTGTTGGTGCAGCAGAAGTTCAAGGACGACATCACCGCGTACAACGCTTTCGCCGTGCTTCTCCGCGTCTGGGCTTCCGAGAATGGATACATATTCGTGGAGCCAGGTATGGAAACCGAAGAGGCGATCAAAGATCAACTGCCAGAAGAGTACCACTGCCGCGGTCACCTCCTCGCTGGACTAGAAGAGATCCAGAGCGAGTGGAAGAAGCGCGTGGAAGCCAAGGCTCATAACCGCGTGGCTCCAGGCATGACCAAGGGTTTTAAGCTGCACGACCTCGACATGAGCCCGAGCGTTCCCAAACTCATCGCGATGAAGAGCCCCCCGGTGGATTGGGTGCAGGGCCGCGCCGACGATCGTGCCGACGCGCACGCGATCGATGAGCTCGTGTCCGAGCTGGTGTGCTTGATCGCAGCGAAGGCCGAGCAGGCGCCAGATTGAGAGAGAAAAGAGAGCTGTAGAAGAACAACGCACGACACACCGCGACAACGTCGCGATATCGTCCGACGGAACAGACTGACTGGTACTGTATTGTAATGGAACGAACGAATACACAGGGGATGAAAGAGGGGAAACAGGCGGGAGAACTAGATAGGCCCCAACCAGTTCCGAGAGATTCCGTCCCACTTTTCCGGCGTCGCGACGATGATGTCCGCGCTAAGAAGCGCGCGCAAGTCCGGGGTGTAATCCCCGGTGAGCTCGACGAGTCGCTTTCCGAGCACGGGGCACAGGTGTTTCCGCCAGTCCTCGATGCGCTCGCGAACAAGCGCTTTCAGAGGCGCGATGTACACGACCTTACCTCCCGGCTCGTCTCGAAACGTCCGCATCATCGCGAGCTCGGCGGATATCGTCTTCCCAGAACCCGTCGGCGCGCCTAACAGGACGTTCACGTTTGTGTGGAACAGCGTGTGGAACGCCTGCGTTTGGATCGCGTTGAAGTGCGTAAACTTTTTCGCGTAGAGCGACTCGTACTTCTCGTCGTTCAACGCGCTTCGAGGCAGAGGCGTGAGGTCGAGTAAGTCTGTGTGCGGCGGGTGCTTCTGCGGAAGCACTAACCCGTCGAACCGCAGTTCTAAGAACGTCTCGCACCCGAGCCAGCTCTCGGAGGTCGCGCGCAGGAAATACTGCGACGGCATCGGTTCGAATATCGGGATCGTGAACGCCATGTGTTGCTTCCCTTCCTTGTGCTGCTTCTTGCTCAGGTTAAACGTCTCCGTGTGATAGATGTGCTCGTTCACCGGGTCTTCGACCCAGACGAGCCATCGTTGGATGCCGCCGTGCTGACTGTCTCGCCATATGAAGTCCGGCGTGAGCGTCACGCTCACTCTCAAAACCGACCTCGTGATCGGCTGCACGCTCGCTTCCATCGCGAGGTGAGGAAGCGCTTCGAGGCATCCTTTAACTTTCTTCCCGACGTCCGTGTTCAGGCGCAGCAACGACCCGATTTCGGACGGCGACATGTCCCACAGCCGCTCCACGGTCGCGTCTCGCGTCTCGAGCCGGTACAGCGTGTCCGGCGACAGCGTCGTCTCGAACTGCCGCAGCGTGTGCTGGTGCGGCCATATCCGCAGATCCACCGTCTTCAACAGCGTCAAGAGCGTCTCCGCGAGCGACGGCCACCCGCGTCTGAGGCAAAGCTCGTACAACGCGCGGCAGATGCGGCTCGCGTTTTGCGAGATGTACGAGCTGTCCGCGATCAAGCTGAACGCTTCCATGCGCGCGCGCGAGATGTACACTTGCAGAAGCAGGTTAACCTTCCCAGCCTTGTCCGCGAGCGTCGCTTTCACTTCGATCGGGCACGCGTTCTTTTTGTCTCGTCGTAACGTCTCGAGCTCGGGCATCTCGTCCTCTCGCGGGGAGATGTTCTCGAACTCTCCCGCGTGCGAGACCATGTGGAACACCTCCGGGACGCTCATGTGGCGCTTCAAGTGCTCGTCGAACATCTCCATGGACGTCTGCTTGATGTAAAAATGCGACGCGATCCTTCCCGCTTCGGTTTGATACAATTGCCCGCTCCTCTCGTCGAATCGAATCATCTTCGCTCGGTCCAACGTCCGCGCCGCTTCCTTGACGAGCTTCCGCCGGTGCTCCCCGAGCCCGGGGTCGAGCTTGACGTCGTCCCACGTGATCCCGTACGCGAGCGGGTTCTTCTCCATCCTCGTGTGTAAGTACGAGTACCCGAGCCACTGCGCGCCTTCCTTCACGTTTGTCACCGTCCCGAGGACGATTTCCGCGTTGAGGTTGTCCGCGAGGCACGAGATAAACTGCGACTCGATCGGCGTGGAGTGCGTCAACAGAGACAGGTAGTGCGCGAGTTTCTTGTGCTCGGTGACGATGACGCCCTCGCCGCTGGTGTCGAACCCTGGTCTACCCGCTCTTCCGAAGATCTGCTGGACGTCGAGCACGCCCAAGTCCCTGAACCCGCCTTTTTGCGGGTCGTACAGCTGCGTGCCTTTGATGACCACGGTGTGCGCGGGCAGGTTGACCCCCCACGCCAGCGTCGCGGTGCAGACGAGGACTTTCACGACCCCCGCGGCGAAGAGCTTCTCCACGAGGGTTCGATCCGACCTCAGCATCCCGGCGTTGTGGCACCCGAAGCCCTTCCCGACCAGCTCCTTGAGCTCGTTGTTCCGACTGCGGTCGATCTCCGTCTTGAACCTTTTTTTGCCCTCGTCGTCCTCCGCGCAGCCAAACAACTCGACGCCGCCCTCCGCGTTCGCGGCGAGCTCCGCGAGCTGACGCGCGGTCTTCACCGTGTCCTTTCGGCTGTGCACGAACACCATCGCTTGCTTCCCGCTCTTCAGCGCGCCCGCGCACTTATCGTACGCGATCTCCGCCATCAAGTTGAGACGTTTCATCGCGTTTCCCTCCGTCACGCCGACGAACACCTGCGTCAGCGGAATCGGTCGGTAGCTCTGATCGAACACGAACAACCCCGCGTCGGAGACGCCCAGGAACTTCGCGACGTCCATTGGGTTCGGCAACGTCGCGGACAGACCGACGATTCGGATCATCGACTGCGTCGTCTCGACTTGCCGGTGCGTCCGCGCGACGAGGGTCTCGATCACCGGACCGCGTTCGTCGTTCAAAAGGTGCACCTCGTCGATGATCAGGAGGCCCAACGTGGACGCGACGGAAACTTCCCCGCCCTTGCGCGTGATGACGTCCCACTTCTCCGGGGTCGTGACGATCATCGTCGTCTCCTCGAGCTCTTTCTTCGTGAGTTGCGTGTCCCCGGTGAGCTCCCTCACCGTTATCCCGAGCGGGGCGAGTCTGCGCGAAAACGCGTTCGTGACCTCCGCGGCGAGCGCCTTCATCGGCGCGACGTACACAATCTTAAAGTCGTCCCCGTTCCACTCCCCGTCATCGTCGAAGTGCGCGCCGATCTCGTGTAGGACGGTCAACATCGCGATGTTCGTCTTCCCCGCGCCCGTGGGCGCGCACACGAGGAGGTTCTCGTTCGAGCGAAACGCCGCGGGGTAAATTTTGCTCTGAATCCGGTTCAGCGACGTCATCCCCGCGAACGCGAGCTGCGCCCAGTCGTCGAGCTCCTCGATCGCGACGAACCGCTCGGCATCCCCCACGGGTGCGACCTTCGCCGCGGGGACGGCTACTTCCTCGTACCCTTTGTGGACCTTACGCGTCGTCCCCGCGGGCAGCGCCTTGCGTCCGCCTGAACCGCCGCCGACGCGAAGACCCGCGAAGACGTCGTCCTCCCCGCGTCCGCCCCCGGACGCCGCCGCGGCTTCCCAGTCTCCCTCGCACAAGACCCCGAACCCGACGCCGCTCGCGGCGAGCCACTCGAGCAGCGGCTCGCCCTGCCCTTGCGCGATGCGACGACCGACTTTCCGCTCCTCCTTGCGTCTGAGTTTCTCGATCTGCTTGTCCGTCGTGCTCGATATCGTCACCGTTCGTCCAGGTCCGCCGGCGGCGGCGCGATCGCGATCCTCGCCGTCGTCGTCCTTCCCCCCTCCCAACGTCTCCCTCAGCGTCGTGATGCGCTTCCGCAGCGCCGCGCACATCGCGACCCTGCGCTCGATCGCGCCCATGATGAGCTCCACGCCGCCGTCGCCGAGGAGGTCGAACAGCTCCGCGGCGACGTCGTCGTCCGACCTCGACGCGTCGGACAGCGTCGCCCTCGCGACGCCCTGCGCGACGTCCTCCCACCCCGCGCCCGCGACGCCCCCGACGTGCTCGACGCACTTCTCGTTCAGCCACCTCAGCTGCTCGTTCGCGCTTTGTTCCGCCGGAGGTAACGGCCCGAACGATGTCGCGCGCGAAGCGGAAGCGTCGAGCGGGCTCGTCCCGGCGTTCTCGCCGCGGCGCTTCTCCGCCTCCGCCTCTCCGGCGGCGCGGAGACCGGCTTTCATCGTCGCCGCGAGCTTCGCCGCCGCGGACGCGGACGCCGCCGCGGACGCGGACGCCGCCGGCGCTGGTCGAGGGATCAAAGTGGACGCCGAAGTGGACGCGCGCGAGCCCACGGCGCGAGACCGAGGCGCGTTGAAGACGACGTCCGCGCCAAACTCTCGCCGCGCGGGGACGGCGGCGGCGCCAAACTCCGCCGCGGACGCGTCGACGTCCCGGTCGTCGGACGTCCCTTTGCGTTTCTTCTGGATGTGCACGAGTCTCTTCGCGACGTCGATGAGATCCGGGACGTGCTTCTCGTCTACCGGCCCTAACGCCTTCGCGAGCGCGGTTTTCATCCGCCTCGCGCGTTCCCTCTCCTCCGCGGCGGCTTTCTTCTTCGCGAGGTCGGGATCTCGCCCGTACGTCGTCTCCTCGTCCCATCGCTCCGCGGCCGCGATGGACTCCTCGCACAGCCCCGCGATCGCGTCGAACGCGACGAGCGACGCGTCCGCGAGCTGGTCCGGCAGGAGCGTGTCCCCGCCCGTGACTTTCACGACGACGGGGAGGAACGCGTCGAGCGCGTCGCGCGCGTCCTTCGGGGGATCTCGCGACGACGACGGCGACGGCGACGACGGCGACGACGGCGACGGCGGCGACGCGTCGCTCCCGCCGAGGACGCGCGCGGCGAGCGACGCGGTCGCGTGATACCTCCCCGCGCCGTGCCCTCCCGCGCCGCCGTCGCCCGCGCGCGCGAGGATCGCGGCTCGCGCGACGAACTCCGCGTCCACGTCCACGGCATCGCGCGCGTCGTTCGTCGTCGCGAGCGTGAACGTCCGAAGGAACGTGCTCAGGCGCGGCGGCGCCGCCGCGCCGCGCTTCCCCTCGGCGCCGCCGCCCATCGCGCGTGGACGCGCTGGTCGCGAAGAGACGCGTGCGGGGCGCGACGTCGTGAGTGCGACGCGAGCGCGAGGCGGCCGTCAGGTGCAGTGGTGCTGGTGGGCACCGAAAACGCCGGCGGCGAGAGCGAGAGGTGAGCGAGAGCAGTACACCGGTAAACGTGTTTTTGACCGGTCAAGGGCCGAGTTGAGCGAATGTTGAAACTGGTCCACCGATCAACACACGCGGGTTGCGACGAAAACTTTCGCCATCGCGCGCGTGTTGGACTGTCACCAACGAGGCCGCGCCGCGTCCCGCGTCCCCTCTGACTTGCGTGACGCGCACGCACGCTCTCCGCAGGGTTCAGCGGCGCCGAACTCCGTTCGCGCGCTCGAACGTCGCGAGAGACGCGCGCGCGCCGCGGCCGCGTCGTCCGAGCTCGTCCGCGCGCGTCGTCTCCGTCGATCGCGCGCGCGACGCTCGCGGATCGCGAATCACGTCTTGCAATTCTTTCTCCCGCGCCCTCCTCTCTCTTCGAATCGGCGTTCGGTGATCGATCGACGCCGCGATGCCCTCGAGCGCGAGCGGCAGCGATGTCGGGTCCATCGGCCTCCCCGCGATCGAGGGCGACCTCCCCGAGCCCCCCTCCGCGACCGCGGACGACGTCGACCTCCCCCCCGTCCCGGACAGCGCGTCCGAGAAGTCCGACGACGACGACGGCGCGGCGGGAAGCGTCGGATCCGAGAAGGCCGACGACGACGCGGACGCGGACGAGCACGTCGTGGACATGGAGGAGATGAAGGAGGCCGTCGCCGCCGCGCAGAGAATCGCGGACTTACGAGCGAAACTGCGCGAGACGAGCGCGGAGGAGCGCGCCGCGCAGATTGCCGCGCTCGCGCTCGCGAACCAGCGCGCGGAGACGGAATACGACAAGGCGATGAGCGAAGATCTCCCGGAGCTGCACAAGCTCGATTACGCGGAAGCGGAGGCGCACTGGAAAGCGGAAGCGGTGACGGGGATCAACGGCGAATACCTCCCGTTCTGGAAGACGGAGCTCCACGAGCTCGAACACCTCGGCCCGGGCGTCGGGCTGTGGTTTCGATCCCTCAAAGGCTTCGGGAAGTTTTTCGCGTACTGCACGATTCCGATCATGATCATCCTGTGCCAGTACTTATATCTGTACTACAACTCCGACAGCGACATGGACAGGAGCTCCACGGAGAACTTGGCGGAGCTCACCACCGGCGTCGCCGCGGCGACGTCTCAGGACGAGACGATGTTTGGCATCAACATGAAGACCATCATGTTTGTCATCTCGTGTCTGGACTGTCTCGCGATCCTCGCGTTTGTCATCTACGCGTGGAGGATGAAAGCGAAGCAGGACCGGTACGTCCGCGAGAACGACGAGGCGATCTCGTCGCTGCCGGACTACAGCGTCCAGGCGTGGAACATTCCGAAGGACACGGAGGAGGCGGACATAAAGAAACACTTTCAGCAATATGGCGTCGTCGCCGACTGCGTCGTCGTGAAGGACATCGGAAAGGTGATGGGGCTTCGCCAACGAAGAGCGAAGCTCATCGATAAGCTCGTGTCGTTGAAGATCGACGCCGCGTATTACACCGCGAAGGGCAAGAGCCGACTGCTGAGGATTCAGACGAAGAGGATCACGCGGCAGAAGGAGATGATCGAGAAGGTCAACGAGAAGATCGAGAAGAAGCTCTCGAAGGGGTTCCACAGCGTGTGCGCGTTCATCACGTACGAGAAGCCCGACGGCCGCGCGGAGGTGTTCACGCGATTCCGCAAGGGCACGCGCTACTGGGGCATGAACTGCTGCTACGACCAGTCCCTGAAGTTCCAGGGGTGGAAGCTGGACGTGAAGCGCGCCCCGGAGGCGTCGGATTTGAAGTGGGAAAACGTCGTCCGCGTCAACAAAAAACGCGACTTCACGAGAAAGTTCATCGCGATGTTTTTCATCTTCATCCTCCTCCTCGGCTCGATCGCGGTGACGATAATCGGACAATCCGTCGCGAGCGACGCGGAGCCGTCCGTGCCGTGCGGCACCGTGGAACCGAGCACCGAGACCCCCGCGCCGTTGTTGTCGTGCACCGCCATCTGGAACCTCAAGGGAGAAAACGCGTTCACCAACGCGACGTCCCAGGCTATGCTCGCGGTGACGAAGTTCGTGGACAACCTCGACGATGCTTCCGTGTGCTCTGATTACATCAGCGGCGTGGACTGGGCGCAGCCGATGAACAACTACGCGCCGTACACGTCGTTCCAAAACGCCGCGTTGCCGGCGGCGAACGCGTGGACGGGTGGGCCCATTCCCGGGTCGAACGCGGACGAGTGCGCGGCGAAGATTTGCCAGAAGTGCTACTGCCTCGACCAGGTGGACATGACGAACATCAAAGAGGTGTTCGAGCAGTTCTTCAGCGGCACGGACAACGACTTCTGCCAGGATGTCTTCGACAAAGTGAAAAACGAAGCCGCGGTCGCCCTAGGCGTCATCTTCATGGTTTCGTTCACAAACTACATCTTGATGGAGAGCGCCGGGTGGGCGTCTAAATTCGAGCGGCACAGCACGGTGTCCCGGACCGAGGCTTCGGAGGCGCTGTACACGTTCTGGGCGCTGTTCATCAACACCGCGTTCGTCCCTATTCTCATCTACGCCAAGATCACGGCCCTGAAAGGTTTACCGTTTGTGTTCCAAGGCTCATACGACGACATGAACGCGGATTGGTACAACACCGTGATGGTCTCTATTCTGTCCACGGCGATCATCAACGCGATCATGTTCCCGCTCGCGAGGGTGTTCAACAAGCTCGGCAAGGGCCTGTGGAGAAAGATGACCCGGTGCTGCGCGCACTCGCAGAAGACGCTCAACGAGATGTACGTCCCCGACGTCTTCAAGCTCGCGGAGCGTTACGGCCAGGCGATGTGCGTGCTATACTACTGCGTCATCTTCTTGAGCGCGTGCCCGCTGCTGTTCCCCATCGGCGCGATCACGTTCCTGTGGATGTACGCGGTGGACAAGTTCCTCTTGTTGAAGTACTACGCGATGCCGCCGGCGTACGACCACGCTTTGAACGACATGATGCTTCGATACGCGCCCTACGCGGCGTGGTTCCACTTGGCCATCGCCATCTGGGTGTTCGGGTACTACCAGATCCCTTCGTACGAGATCGGCGGGTACGGGAGCTCGTACGGCGCGGACTCCACGGCCACGGACGGAGACTACGACTCCGCGCCGGATCAGCTCGATTTCGTCGCGCGCATCGTCCGCGCGAACGCGTTCGTGCCGTTCGTGCTGTTCGTGCTCCTCACCGCGACGCTGTTCCTCTCGAAAATTTTAAGAATTTTCGTCGTCACGCCGATCAAGAAGCTGTGCTGCGGCCACGAGGAGGAGCAGGTCGAGGACGTCCCGGACTTCAGCGAGCTGATCATGCCCGGGGACCCGCGGTTCGACAAGCCGTTAGAAGAAGGCGCGAAGATGACGTCGAAACTGAGCGGGCTGAAGTCGTACCGTCTGGAGGACAACCCGGATTACCAGGCGTTGTTCCCGGAGAGCGTGCTCACGGGGGAGACGATTCAGCTCGAGTTCGAGGAGCCCCCGGAGGAGACGCCACCGGAGGATCAGGTGATGACGATCTCGCCGCACCCGTTGGGACGGTCGGCGACGATGAAGGAGCCGAAACGGAAGAGGAAGAAGGGGGACCCGCACGCGAAGAAGGATCACTTCTTGGATCGTTCCGCGTCGACGAGGGTGTGATCGAAACGGCGACGCGACGCCATGACTACGGTAACAAGAAGTCAACCGTTTACTACAGTAGACCAGCCAGACAAAAGTTAACGAGAAGTTAACCGTTTTCTGTTTAATCGTAACGTTATACGTTGTTTACTCGTCGTCTCGTCTCGTCTCGTCTCGTCTCGTTAACTCCCCTCCGCGGCGGCTTCTTTCAAGATACTCTCGAACGAAAACGGATCGAACGCGTATCCGTCGCCCTTGTAGAACTTGTTCTGGTACTCTACCCAATGCAACCTGAGCGCGTGCAAAAACGCGCTGAGGCTCTCCATAAGCATCAGCACCCCGATCGTTGCCACCGCCCACACGGCGAACCCGACGAGCATCACGAGCGGCGATTTCGTCGCCGCGGACGCCATCAAGACGCGGTCCAAGAACACCGCGCTGAGCTGCGAGTGCGCGAGCGACAGCGCCCACAGACGCAAGTACGACGCCGTGTTGCTCACCGCGCCGAGGACGAACTCGATCGTGTGGATCATCTGGTGCACGAAGACGTCCCCGAAATTGAACGCCTCGCCGTCTTCGTCCTCGCCGGGGAGGCGCGCGTACGCCTCCCCTCGCGCCCTCGCGTCGTGGCGTCTCTTCAGAACGAGCGGCTTCGGCAGGAGCATCACGGGCACGGACGCGAACGCGACGACGACTAAGCACACCTGAAGGACGCCTTGACCGCGGAACATGACGTTCTCCGGGCACCCCGCGGTTCCTCCCGGGCCTTCTCCCGCGCAGTCTACATTCCCTGGGTCCAGGAACATGTATATGAGGACGTGATAGAGATCAGCCTCGCAACCGGGTGTGATCCACTTTAAGACGATGAGAAAGACGAGATACCCGAACAGCGCGCCGAGGAAGATGACCTGCGGGATGCACTCGCACGCGATCGACAGAACGTCCTTCGCGCGCACGAAATTCAGCAAGCTCATGAAGATCCCGACCATCATCTGCGTCACGCCCATGATGATCGACATCTTCATCTTCATCGAGTTCAAGAACGGCAGCTCGGACTTGCTGCCTCGCCAGATCGGGTCTACGCCGAACGCGTACGTCCCGTTTCGTTCGAGGCCGGCGACGTACTGACTGTCGCACCCCTTCGTCGCGTCGTTCGCGTCGCAGACCCACCGCGTCTTCCCGGCGAGCCACGTCATCGGCACGGAGAAACACTCGTTGTACATCGCCCCGGCGTACATCGAAAAGATAGACATGAGGAGGACGACGTAGCGACCGTCGAACGCCATTTGGAATATTTCATTCTGCGGCGTCGCGCCGAGCGTTTCCTCGTTCAGGACCATGTACATCGCCGCGAGGAGCATCAAGATCCCGTGTCCGAAGTCGCCGAACATCACCGCGAACAAGAACGGAAACGTCACTATGGTGAGCACGGTCGGGTTCACCTCCTTGTACCGCGCTATCCCGTACGCGTCGACGATGCCCTGGAACGCGGCCGTGACTTTGTTCGTTCGGAAATACGTCGGCGGCTCTTCCTTCGACGCCAGCGGCTGGAAGATCGTCCCCACGAGCGCGCTCGAGGATCGATTCGCGCGGAGCAGCGCGTCTCGCACCGCGGGCTTCGCGAACGTCGGGCACCACGCCTCGGCGACGACGACGTCTCGAGCGACGTCGACGGAGAACATGTTTAACGCGTGGTACGTCGCTTTCTGTTTCCTGACGAACGTCGTCCACGCCGCGTGCGCGCGGGCGATGCCGCGGAGGAGGTCGTCGCGATGCGCCGTGGACGCGCGTAACGTCTGCTGCAGATCAGTTTCACGCGCGGCGACTTCCGCGCGCATCCGCCGCCGCCGCGAGAAATCCTCTTGAAGCGGGTACCGGTTCGCGCCGAAGCTGTCGGCTATCTTCGCGATCGCATCCCGCGCGTGCTGCCCCGAGAAGAACACGAGAAACGCCGTCTTCACGACGAAGTCTCCCGTGGCCGGGTCCTCCATCTCGCCCTCGATCGTCTCTCGCTCGAAGAGGAGATTCCCGCGCGTCGCTCGGAACGCCATCCGCTCGAGCGCCGGCGCCTCGGACGCGCGCACGCACCCGGCGATGAACCCCAGCCGCGACGCCTTCTCGACGTCGTCGTCCGCGCTCGCGAGCAGCGCGTCGTCGCCCAAGATTTCGAGTCCCCCCGCGCCGTCGGTCGCCTCGTCGAAGAACGCGCGCGCCTTCTCCGTGACGACCTGCAGCTCCACGAGTTCGGCGCGATTCCGACGCAGCCGCTCGATGGCGGCTGACATCGTCCGCGTCTCGCTCTCCGCCTCGGTCAGCCGCGTCTCGAGGTCGTCGAAATCGATGGACGTCTCCGGCGACGGCATCGCGCGCGGAGCGATCCCCGCGTCTTTGAACGCCGCCGCGAAGAAGCGCAGCCGACGAAGCATCTCGTCGCATCGCTTCACTCGCGACGCGTACGTGTACGCGCGCTGGGGGAAAGGTTTCGCGTGATTCAGATCTCGAAACTGCACGAGACCGACGTCGCCTGAGCACGCGACCGTGTCGCGCGAGGCTTCGGAAGGGACGATGAGGCGGACGAGCTCCATGCTCTCGCTCCTGAAGAGCTCCATGGCGCGCGGACGTGCGGTGCGCGCCGCAGCCCGCGCCTCCCCGACTGAAGAAAAGCGTTAGACGCTTCCGAGAAAAAAGAAAACGCACAAGACAGCGCGGCTGATGCCGTCGTTCACCACAGTTCACCGCCTGGTATCCTACTACTACGACGACGCTTCCGCGTCCGGCAACTCCTCTATCGTCACCCCCGACGCGCCTCCCCCACCCTCTCCCTCCCCTCGCGCGATGCGCTCCGTTCGCTGCCGCTCCAACTTCTTCTGGTGCCTCGAGTGCTGCTCCGCGATCTCACCGACGACGGCGCGTCCGACGTTGAAGACGCCGCCGAGGACGGCGCCGAAGATATTTCCGACACCGTGCGCGATATCTCCGGGGTGCTTCGCGACGTCGTTCGAGCGCGGCTCGCTCGCACGATTATCGGCGGCGCTCTCGCCGTGGGGTCCGCCCGCGTCGCGCGTCTCCGTCGCGCCCGCCTCCGTCGGTCCCGCGGCGAGGACTTGCGACAGCCCGCTCGAGACGCCTTTTCCAAAATTCGCGACCATCCCGCTCACGTCGAGCCCTCCGCCTCGCGACCCCCACTGCACGGCCGCGAGTATCGTGTGCCCCGCGGACGACGCGTCGCCGGCGTGCGTCTCGTCCACCGCGCCTCGAGGGCGATCGCCGCGTCCGCTCGCGTGCGCCGCGCGTTCGCTCTCGACGTGTTTAAAATACGTCTCGAGGTTGTCCACGAGGCAGTCGACGACCCAATCGACTTCCTCGCCCTCGTCCTCGCTCGTCCACAAGATAGCGTCGTGCGCGTTCGACGCTATCTTGCGCTGCTTGTGCACCTCGGTCGCGGCGAGGTGACCGGCGATGTACCCGCCGACGGCGCCGATGGGTCCCATCAGGACGCCGCCGCCCGCGGCGAGCCCTTTCGCGAGTCCCTCCTCGACTTGGTAGCTCTTCTGGAAGCCGTACCGCGCCCACGTGCAGAAGTGCTCGCAGTTGTTCCCCAAGACGTGATACCCGCCGAACCGCTCCTCGTACATCTTCTTGGAGAGCGCGAGGAGCGCCCGCTCTAAGATCTGCTCCGGTCGCATCGGCGTGTGCTTCGCGTCGTACTCCACGCATCCGTCGTACGGCGAGCCCCCGACCTCGCTCAGGGCGTTCGTGACGACGACCGCGTTCGCGCTGACGTCCCTGTCCGAGCTGTCCGCGGCGCCCCAGAGGTGGACGACCGCCTCGGGGAGCTTCTCCCCCGTCCTCTCGTCCGCGTCCACCATCCACCGGTCCCCGCACGGCGCGAGCGCGCGACGACCGACGTACACCGCCCAGTGCGTGAACGGGACGATCTGGTCGTTCCTCGGCCAGTAGAGGATGTCCCCGGGCGTCCGCGACTTCCCGAGCGCGGGCCACACGTGCTTCCGCATCGCGGGCTCGCATGCTCGCGGCTCGTACTTCGGCGCGGGAGCCGCGACCTCCATCGCCGCGACCGGAGGTGTGACGCCGCGACGACCGCGACCAGATCTCGCGGTTGAGTTTTATCCTCGCCTCGTGCTGTGAAGAATATTTGTGAGATCTGTCGCAGCCAGTTGTTACCCGCGCAGGTCACGGGCGGACGCCGCGATGGCGCCGGCGACGAGGCGCCGGGCCGCGGCGAAGACGCCAGTCACCGCGACGCCCTCGCCGAACGCGCGAGGAGGGAAGAATCCCTCCGCGGCGAGCCCAGAGGACGACAGCGTGGACGACAGCGTGGACGAGAGAGACGCGATTGTGAGATGGAGACGACGACGCCGAAGCGGACGCCTCGCGACGCTGTACGTCCCCCGCCTCCCCGTGTTCTCGTCCGCGTTCGTGTTCGGGCTCTTCGCGCTGCTCGCGCCGATCGCGGACAGGGCGTACCACGCGCTGTCCACGGAGGGGAGGATGGCGTCGGACGTCCCGTCGTTCGCGCACGACCTCGGCAAAGGTTTCGTCGTCGAGTGGGACAAAACTTTGCTCGAGCTCAGCGTGTTGCACTCGCGGCAGGACCGCAAGTGCGCGTCTCGACGAGCCGCGTCCAACGTCGCGGAGGCACAACACCGGAGCGAGTGCGCCCCGCGCGTCGCGTGGAGCACGAACCCGGGGCTGCCGTTCCTCGTCGCCGCGAACGGCCCCATTCGCATCCACCAGCTCATGGCCGGGCACTTTAAGGTTGACATTCGACGCGTGCTGCAGACGACGACGCAGACGCTCGACTCCGTGGAGTACGTCCCTCCGTCGCGCGTCGATCCGGTCGGCACCGTGATCATCCGGGGCGTGCTGATCAAGGACGACGCGCAGCCGGACCGGATGTTGTCCATCGTGGGCGACCTGCGAGCGGCGTGGAACGACATGACGCACGAGCGTCTGACGTTCAAAGCCGAGGCGAAACTGAAAGCGTCGTACACGCTGACGTTCACGCCCGCGTCCGACGCGCGGCTCGCGTTCGAGTTCGAGTGGGACGACGAGGTTCCCGGCGTGATGCGCTCGCCGGGCGGACGACGAAAGAGCGTGGGGTTGAACCAGGTCATCCTGCGGTACGCGTCGGATAAGCACGAACGGATTTACGGCATGGGCGAGCAGTACAGCTCGTTGGAGCACAAAGGGAAACGCATACCGATCATCACCGCGGAGCAAGGGATCGGCCGAGGGAAACAGCCGGTGACGTTCGCGTTCAACCGGGTGTTCATGGGCAGCGGAGGGAACTGGCACACGACGTACACCGCGATACCGCACTACGTCACGAGCGCGGCGCGGAGCGTGTTCCTCACGAATTACTCGTACGCGGAGTTTGACTTCACGGACGACGAGACGATCTCGATCTTGTCCACGACGCCGACGAACACCCTCTGCGGGCAGATCATCGGCGCGAGGAGCATCCCCGAGACCGTCGCCGCGTACACGGAGTACAGCGGGCGCATGGAGCCGCTCCCGGAGTGGGCTTACGCGAACGGCGTCATTCTCGGGATGACGGGCGGGAGCGCGAAAGTACGGAAAGTCGCTTCGATGCTTCGCGACGCGGGCGTGCCTCTCGCGGGACTTTGGCTGCAAGACTGGGGCGGGATACGAAACACGTCCATCGGGATCGAGCGCGTGTGGTGGAACTGGGAGCTGGACGAGAGCAACTACCCGGACTGGCACGCGTTGCGAGAGGAAGCGGCGATGAACGGGACGAGGTTGCTGACGTACACGAACCCGTTCCTCATGGACGCGAGAGGGCCGAAAGGGCGTTTATACCGCGAGGCGAAGGAAGCCGGGTACATGGTCCAAACCGTCGCCGGCGGCGTGTACCGTTTAGGGCACGAGCCCGGGGTGTCGTTCGGCCTCTTAGACCTCACGAACCCGGCGGCGGTGCGTTGGATCGAAGACGTGTTGCACGACATGCTAAAGAACACCGGCGCCGTGGGGTGGATGGCGGACTTTGGCGAGTACCTTCCGTTCGACTGCGTGCTTCACAGCGGCGAAGCCCCGATCGCGGTGCATAATCGGTACCCGGAAGACTGGGCCGCGCTGAACCGTCGCGCGATGATCAGAGCGGGACTAGGGAGTAAAAACGAAGGCGGGAACGGCGAAGGCATGTTCTACTCTAGGAGCGCGTCGTCGCAAACGCCGCGGCACACGCCCCTGATGTGGCTCGGCGACCAGCTCGTGTCTTGGGACGCGCACGACGGGATGAAATCCGCGGTGTTGGGGATGTTACAGGGCGGGTTGAGCGGCCTCGCGTTGTCGCACAGCGACATCGGCGGGTACACCGCGACGCCCGGGAGACACCGCACGCGGGAGCTGCTCATGCGCTGGATGGAGCTCTCCGCGCTGTCGGACGTCGTCTTCCGCACGCACCAGGGAAACAGACCGCTGCACAACGCGCAGCCGTGGGACACCCCGGAGCTCCTCGATCACTTGAGGGACTTCGCGCGGTTGCATCGAGCGTTGGCGCCGTATCGCGCGGAGCTCATGCGGGAGTCTTCGCTCACGGGGATGCCGCTCACGCGCCCGCTGTTCATGCACTACCCGCACGACGTCGTCGCGTCTCGAGTCGCGACGCAGTTCCTCGTGGGGCGGGATATCCTCGCCGCGCCGGTGATGGACCGCAAGACGTCCAGGGTGCACGTGTACCTCCCCCCGGGGGACACGTGGCTGGACGTGTGGACGACGCAACAAGCGCCGGCGCAGCCGACGGGGCCGCGACACGGGCACGGCGTGTGGCTCACCGTGGACGCGCCGATGGGGTGGCCCGCGGTTTTCATTCGCGCGGACGCGGGGAAGCCGGCGACGCGCGCGGCGGCGGCGATGCGCGAATGGGCGGCGGAGCGCGGGGGGTTGCCGCCGCACCGGCACGTCGCGCCGATGGACCCGGTCGAGAAGTTGGTGTTGGGGTTGTACGGGTAGGTAGCTCGCGATCGATGTTCGCGTCGAGAGCGTCACGTTCTTGTTGTAAGAGGTTGTACGAGTACGACGTCGTCTTTTTTTCGGATGCTGCCTGAGGCGTTTTTTCGGTGACCGTTCGTGGTCAACGTTTTTTCCGAGAAGGCGGTGCCGCGTCGTCCGTCACCCAGTTCGAGGCGCGCGAGGCGGAGGGACACGCGCGTCGCGCGCGATGGGGGAGAACGTCGAGATCTACCTGCGGCTGAAGCCCGTCAGGGCGCCGTCGCCGTGCGTCTCGATCGACGTCAGCGAGAACCAGTGCGTGTTCGACATCCCGCGAGACGACCTCGCCGGGTACGTGAACAATCAGAGGGAAAAGTACGCGTTCCAGTTCAACGGCGTGCTCGCGCCGGACGCGCAACAGGACGAGGTCTTCGAGCGATGCGCGGCGAAGGTGGTCACCGGCGCGCTCGATGGGTTCAACGGCACCGTGTTCGCGTACGGGCAGACGGGAAGCGGGAAGACGTTCACGATAACCGGCGGCGTCGAGCGGTACGCCGACCGCGGGATCATCCCGCGGGCCATCTCGCGACTGTACGCGGACATCGCGAAGAAGACGGACGGGAAGTACGAGGTGCACGTGTCGTACATGGAAATTTACCAAGACCAAGGCTACGACTTGCTCGACCCGGAGCACGACACGAAAGCGCTCGAGGACTTGCCGCGGGTCAGCGTGCGAGAGGACGACGCCGGGGACTTTCACCTGCAGAATCTGAGCACGCATCGTTGCGAATCCGAGGAGGACGCGCTGAACTTGCTCTTCTTGGGCGACACGAACCGCGCCATCACGGAGACGCCGATGAACATGGCGTCCACGCGGTCGCACTGCATATTCACGATGCAAGTCGAGCGGAGAGAGGTGGGGAGCGAGATCGTCAGACGCGCGAAGGTGAACCTCGTCGATCTCGCGGGGTCGGAGCGCGTGAAGAAAACCGACGTCAGCGGGAAGACGCTCGCGGAGGCGAAATACATTAACCTCTCGTTGCACTACCTCGAGGCTGTCGTCATCGCGTTACAGGAACGCGCGATGGGCGGAGGGAGGGGGCACATACCGTACAGGAACGGTCTGATGACGATGATGTTGAAGGACTCGCTCGGGGGGAATTGCAAAACCGTGATGTTGGCGACGGCGTCGCCGGATCACGACAGCGTCGACGAGAGCATCAGCACGTGTCGATTCGCGCAGAGGATCGCGATGGTCGCGAACGTGGTGACGATAAACGAGGACATCGATCCCGCGTTAGTCATCAAACGCCTGAAGCGCGAGAACCAGGAGTTGCGAGATGAAATCAAGCTCCTGTCCGGCGTCAACGACGACCGCGGAGCGCTGACGGAATCCGAAATCGAACGGCTGCGCTCGAGGGTGAAGGCCTACGTCGACGGCGGCGGCGCGGACGAGGGCGAGGGATTGGCCGCGGACATCGGCGCGTCGATGATGAAGATCAAAGCGAGCTACGAGATATTCAGAGAGATGGTGTTAAGACGCGGCGGCGGCGGCGGCGTCGCCGGCGTCGCCGCCGGCGGCGGCGAGGCGTCGACGTCGCCGCGGTCGCCGCCGTCGCCCGTCGTGGAACCCCCCGGGGCGTTCGACGACTTGCGCGAGGAACTGCGGCTGATGCGCGAGCGCGTGAGACAGCGCGACGCGGAGATCAACGTCCTCGTCGGGATGCTGCAGCGCGGGGAAGGCGGCACGCGCGGCGGATACAGAGCCACCGCGGCGGTGCCTCTCGTGGACGCGTCGAACCCGTCGTCGACGCTGCGCGCCATCGTCGGCGAAAACGAAAACGGAAACGAAAACGACGCGGCGTCAGCGCTCCCTCCCGCGGACGTGCTCGCCGACCGCGACCGCGCGTTCGAGCACTTCAAGCGCGCGTACGCGCAGAACGCGGGCGTGGAGCGGGACAAGTCGACGCTGCGAGAGTTGTACGCGAAAGCGAAGACGCTCGGGGAGCGCGTCAACGCGGCGAGGGATGAGATCAACGCGCAAAAGAGCAAGATTGAAAAGCGACGCGTCGCGCGCGCGCTGAAGACGCTGTCCGACGCGGACTTCGACCCGGAGTGCGACGCCGTGGACCAGGCCGAGGAGCGCGCGAAGGCGACGATCGAGGAGAGCAAGTGCGAGTACAGGACCGCGTTCGACGAGCTCCGAGACGTGAAGAAAGAGATCGACCGTCTGCAGCTCGCGTTGGACCAGTCGCGGAGGCGTCTGACGACGGATTTCGAGAAGTGGCTCGTCATGGCGCTCGGGCAGCAAAACGGCGACGGCGGGCCGGAGGAGACGATCCTCACCCCGGGCGCGGCGAGGATCTTGGGGCAGACCGTGGTCCGACCGCCCGGGAGCGCCGGCCCGGTCGCGCGGTACCGGCCGTTGTCCGCGGCGGAGGCTGAGGCGGCTGACGCGGCTGAGGCGGCGGCGGGCGCGGCGGCGCCGACCCCGGCGGCGAAGACGTCTGCGGCGACGCCGGCCCCGGTCGCGAAAGCGCAGACTCGCGAGCCGATGACGGAGCTGCCGATGACCGGGAACGCGCAGGTGGACGCGGACATCGCCAAGTTTTTCGCCGCGAAGAACTTGCTCATGAAGAGGGCGGAGAAGGCGTAGCTAGGAATTTATTAGGATGAGCGAAGCGTCGTATTATCACCACGATCGTTCGTCGTCGCGGACGACACGTCCGTCTATCTATCTATCGCGCGCGCAAGCGCTCGACCTCGAAGAAATCAGTCCTCGTCCTCGTCCGAGTCGCAGTGCAGCTGGATGCTCATCCCGACCTCCTTGGCGCACTTCATGGCCGTCGCGTTGGAGGGGTCCAGCTCAAGCGCCTTCTCCAGCGCCCTCTTCGCGCGTCGCAGCGTCGGCGCGTCCCCGACGTCTCCCTTGTCCCCCAACGCGAGCAGCGCCTGCCCGAGCCGGACGTACCCTCGGACGTACGAGGGGTCCAGCGCCGTCGCTCTCTCGCAGTCCTCCACGACGCGGCTCTCCCTCCCCGGGATCTTCAACCCCGCGGCGGCTCGGTTCCCCAGATACGGCACCTTGTCCGGCGCCAGCCGCAGACATTCGGTGTACAGGTCAAACGCGCGGCGGTACTTCTTCTCTCCGAACGCGGCGACGCCCTTGTCGTTCAGCTCCTCCGCCGCCTTGGACGCTTCCGGGGAGTCCGCGCTGAGGTCCGGGCGTAAGTCCTCGTCCGCGCGCTCGTCCAGCAGCAGCGGACCGTCTTTGAAGTTCGCGCCGTCGTACCCGGTTCCGCCGACGCGTTCCCACGGCCGCTCCTTCGACGACCCGGCTATTTTGTTGTCGTTCCACATCAGCTCCATCTGCTTCCTCGCCTCGCCGATCGCTTGCGTGGTGCGATACGCGGACTGGCCTTGGTCGAACAGCGTCGGGTCTGGTCGTTCCCCCGCGGCCCAGGGGACGTGGACGTCGACGCCGAAGTTTCCGTGCGGGCGGTAGTCCCCGCGCGCGCGCAGCATCGCCTCGATCTCGAACGGATCGCGCCCGCTCAGGGCCATCTTCAGGACGTCGTCCAAGGTTTGCATCGCCGGGATGGTGTACGTCTTCGCCCAGCGCGCGTAATCGAAGTTGTTCGTCGTCAGCGTGTGATACGCAGCGGTGATCTGCGTGAACCGCGCGGTCGCTTCGTCGACTTTGTCTTTGTTCTTGTCCGGATGCCACAAGAGGCACAGCCTTCGGTACGCCTTCTTGACCTTGTCGACGTCGCCTTTGTCCGCGTCCGCGATCTCGAGGACTTGATACGACTCCTCGGAGTTTAGCGGGCCCATGATGATCGGGACCGGCTCCTCGCCGCGGGCCGCGTCGGCGGACGACATTCTTCTTCGATCTTCTTCGAGCGGCGTACGTCGCGACGACGACGTGACGTTTGACCGCGCGCGGGTCTACACCGCACGCCTACGCGCGCGTCGATTGGCGATCACGACCGCCGCACCGATCGCGGGGAGGTCTCTCGACGCGATTCGCGGACGCGCTCGCGAACGACCGCGGCGCGAAAGCGCGTGGACGACTGCGACCGGCATCGCGTTGGATTTTTTTTTTCAGAGGAGACGAAGGGTCTCACGACACACAACGGACTGAGTTGACCTCGGGAACGACGGCGGGCGACCACGGGGAAGGTATACAAATCACGCATTCAAGATAATAGGGATGACTGGCTAAACAATACACAAAACACCGATCGACGATTAATACCCGCCGAAGTCGTCCACGGGAGCGTCCCACCCGCCGGCGTCTCTGCCGCCGCCGCCGCGGTCTGACGAGTACGAATCGCCTCGATCACGTCCGTAGGAGGAACCGCCCCTGCCGCCTCCGCGACCGCGACCGCCGTACGAGGAACGTTCACCACCCCCGCCGCCTCCGCGACCGCGACCGCCGTACGAGGAACGTTCACCACCCCCGCTGCCACGGTACCCCCCCCCGCCACCGCGCCGGCTATCGAAGTAGTTGTCGCCGCCACCGCGGAAACCCCCGCCGCCGCGGTCGCCGCCGCCGCCGTCGTTCCAACCGCCGCCGCCGCCGCCGCCGCCGGGGGTGCTGCACCTCTTGCACTCCGTCCTCGACGCGAAGTTGCTGAAGTTACACTCCGGGCAGTTCCAATCCCCCGGTCGCATTTCCCTCCCGTCGCGGTTCTCGCGCCCGTATCTGTCGTACGGATCGACCGGTCCGCGGCGCTCGAACGACCGTTCCCTGCCGCCGCCGCCGCCGCCGCCGCCGGCGGTGCCGCACTGCTTGCACTCGTACCTGCTCGCGAAGTTCATGAACCCGCACTCGGGGCAGTCCCAGTCCCCAGCCTTCCGATCTTGCTGGAACGAATCCCTGCGCTCGCGCGGCGCGCGGTCGTAGAACCCGCCGCCGCGGTCGCGGTCGCGGTCGTCCGCGCGGTTGTCCCTCCACGCTTCTTTCCCTCGCGACGGTTTCGCATCCGTCGCGGTGTATCCTGTTCTTCCGCCCATACGAATCGCGCCTCGCGACTTGTGGTCCATCGCGTTCTCCGACGGCGGCGGCGCCGCGGTGTTCAACCGCACGCACGCGTCGCCGACCTCATCTCTCTTGTTCACGTCCATGAGCAGCGCCTCGCACGCGGCCATCGCGACGATCTCCGCGTCGTCGCTCAGCGGCACGCGCGCGGTGGCGAGGTCTTGCAGAACCATTAAAACATCCGCGACGAGGCGGTTCCCCGCCGCGGAGGGATCATCGCGGAACAACACGTGATGCACGCACACGTCGTTCAACAGGTGCGCGAACTTCTCGCCGCCGCCCCACACGAACGCGGTCTGCTTCCCCCGCGGCCCGTCCGCGTGCGCCGCGGCGGTTTCGAGCCACGCCGCGCCGACGGCGCCCATGAGACGCTCCGAGAGCGCCCCGGGCGGCGCCGCGTGCGCGGCGTACGCCTTCAGCGTGCGTCTGACGTCGCCGAGGCACGCTTTGACCTCGTACTGACGCATCCCGGAGAACGTGCTCCACGGCGTCGGGTTGGACCAGGAGGAGACTTGCGAGACGGACGCCTCGTCGGAGCTCGAGCCCGCGCCGCCCTTTTCGCCGTGGCCGCCCGCGCGGAGCTCCAAGACGAGGTTCGAGAACGCGTCGCAGACGGGGCCGCCGAGGACGACGGCGTCGTCGTCCGTGACGGAGAAGTCAGCCTTGTCCTCGCTCTTCTCCGCGGCGATCGTCGCGTCGTCGTCGAAGGACGCGCCCGGCGCCGACGCCGACGCGGCGAACTTCGACGACGACGACGATTCGGCCGCCTCGTCGGCCGCGATCTCCGCGCGCGCGGCGGCGACGTCGACGTCTTCCTCGTCGTCGTTCCCTTCCTCGTGGATGCCGTCGTCGACGCCGAGGCCGTCGTCTTCGTAGTCGTCGTTGAAGACGCCGACGCCGCCCGCGGCCGCGGAGAGGTCGCGCGTGAACGGCGGCGCGGTGAAGACGCGACGCGACGCGACGGCGGCGAATAAAGCGCGTGACGACGAGACGGAGGAAGCGCAATTAATAACCCCGGGCGCCGCGAAGCGTTGCGCGGTCGCGGCCGCGCGAGGCGCGCGAGGCGCGATGCGCACGACGGCGCGCGGCGTTCGCGCACATAATGTGATGTTCTTGGCGAGTGCTTGAACCATGGCTCTGCGCATGCTAGAGTGGCGGGGCGCGAGATGGCGACGGCGGCAACCCTCTTCGAGGGCGCCGTCATCGTCGTCACTTTTCGCAGATCTGGTACGTACAGGTAGTTGTAGTTGTAGTCTGGCTGACGACGCGTCGACGTCGTCGTCAGGTGGCGCGGCAGTTCGCGACGCGCGCGGGATCTCGCGCGCGCGATGGCGGAAGTGTCGATCCCGCGTCCTCGCGATGGTGGACGCGGCGGCGAGCCCGGCGGTGGTCGCGGCGGCGGTCGCGGCGGGAGGCGGCGACGCGGCGGCGGACGCGGCGGCGGCGACGACGCGGCGACGACGACGAACAGTGAAGACCGCGAAGAATCTCGCGGAGACGGCATCGCGCGGTCGCTCGACGCGACCGCGCGGGCGTTCACGCCGCGGTCGCTGCCACCTCGCCCGCCGGCGTCGACGCCCGCGCCGACACCGACGCCGGCGCCGCCCGCGGCGAAGAAGAAGAAGAAGAAGCCGGCGAAGCCGCGGCGCGGGGACGACGACGACGACGGCGACGACGACGACGGACCGGCATCATCCGCGGACGACGCGAAGAAAAAGCGCGTCGAGAAGAAGAAGAAACCGCGACCGACGACGGCGACGAAGGAATGGTGGCGGACGCTCACGGAGAGCGACCCGATCACGCTCGACCCGCTGTGCGAGCTGCCGTACCCGCCGTTCGACCTCGACACGACGACGACGTCCGGCGGCGGCGGCGGTTCGATCCCCGGCGGCGGCGGCGACGCGGCGGCGCACCTGTTCGACGGCGTCGTCCTCGCGGAGTACGTCACGACGTCGAAACAGTTTGAAAACCCGCTCAACAGGGTCCCCATGGACGCGAAGGACTGCGCGCGGTTAGACGCGTACCTCAAGAAGCACCGCCTGAAGACGTTCGACGTGATGAAGACGTTCCACGCCGCGGCGATGGAGCGGGAAAAAGCCGCGGAGGACGCCGCGGCGAGGGCGAACGAGACCGAGGAAGCCGCGGCGGCGCGCCGCGCCGCCGCGCAGACGGAGCTCGCGCAGTCGCTGTTCACGTCGCTGAGAGCGAGAGCGTCGAGGAGCGCGGCGGCGAGCGAGCGCGAGGCGAGAGACGCGCGCGGAATCGGCGGACGAACCGGGACCGGGGCGGCGCGACGCGGACGCGGACGCCTCACCGCTCGCGACGAGCCGGAGTGGACCGGGGACCGAGCGGGGTGGGAAGACTACGCGCACCTCT